TTCTTTATTGTTGTGCTACTTCTCTAGTTTCTTTCTTACATTGTGCCACCTTCTCTTGTCCCTTCTCATGCTGCACCATCTTCTCTTGTTCCTTCTTATGTTGTGCTACCTTCTCTAGTTTCTTCTTACATTGTGCCACCTTCTCTTGTTCCTTATGTTGTGCTACGTTTTGTTGATCATTCTCAATGGCTTGATGTCACCATATCTGAGTTCCTTGTTATTGCTGTGCCACGATTTTTTTGACTTCCTTCTCATGGTGCTGCCACCTTTCTTGATCCTTCTCACACTGTGTCCTGTTCGACTGTTCTGTCTCGTCATGGGACTGGATAGTCGCTCTCTACAATCTAATTTTGTGCTGTTACTCGTAAGAGGACAAGGAGTTTTGTGAATATTAGAATGATTGGTTGTTGAATATAGAGGGAATTAAAATGATAAATTGATGAATAAGAATAATATAGAAGTAGAAAAATGCAAGGCAGTAGGTGATCTTAGTGATATGACTGCTTATTAGGATGGTCAGATGGAGGTGGGGAGGACGAGCTAGCACTGGAATGGACTAGGAAGAGACGAAGGTGCAAACAACTTTAGTCGACCATTGGTGGCATGACAATAAGAAGGGCATAAACGGAACAAATGAGATGTGTATGGCAACATGTTCTATAATCGATTATAGATGAGTCCTATGTAAGACTTTTAAGAGAGCATGAGCAAATGATTGTCATTAAGACTGTCATATAGGAGCTGTCTAGAGTAATCTGTACTTGGACATAATGATAGGTGAGAATCCTAAAAACTTACAATTCAAAACCCACATCTACACTCCATAGAGTACATAAACTCGCTTCACATGATCATATGATTAATTGTATTGCATACATTACATACTATAACATCAAATAGAATTCACTTCAGTTGATTGACTTAAAAGATATAATATATACTTCCAAACTCAAACATAACTAACGAGCGATACGTACATTACAATATACATGCATTTATAAATATAACAATAACTCTTGGGTTGCATCCAAATTTATTTAGATAAATCAGCTACTTATAACATTAAAAAAATTACCGTTGTCATCAAGTACCATTACATAATTCATGCTATTATGACGTTGCGTTGCACTTTCAGGAAAATACACTCCTATAACGCTCTAGTACGGTGATTTTATCACTCTAGTATAATCACATCTGCACGCAAGCTGCATGATGATCTATAGGCATGATTATGTCCTCTGTCACTTATCCTAGGGTTTCCATTTAGCTAGGTGTATGTTTTCGTGTTAGAATGCAGTGTTAGAGTTCTTAATCTACTGCAAAGTGTCTTATTGACTCAGGGATGAATTTATCATGATAGCGTAGATCACATATATACCTATTCTACTACAACAAATCATAACATATTGCCTTGACACAACGTCGAACACACTTGAGGGTTTAGCCATGTCCTCGTAATGAGCACGCAAACGAAACAAGAGAAGTTTGTACAACATAAGAAGGAACAAGAGAAGATGGTGCAACATAGGAATCAACGAGAGAAAATTGTGCAACATAGAAAGGAACAAGAGAAGATGGTGCAACATAGGAATCAACGAGAGAAAATTGTGCAACATAGAAAGGAACAAGAGAAGGTGATGCAACATGTGAAGGAACAGGAGAAGGTGGCACAATCTGAGAAGAAACAAGAGAAGATGATGCAACATAGAAAGGAACAAGAGAAGGTGATGCAACATGTGAAGGAACAGGAGAAGGTGGCACAATCTGAGAAGAAACAAGAGAAGATGATGCAACATAGAAAGGAAGAAAAGAAGGTGGTGCAACATGAGAAAGAAGAAGAGAAGATGACACCACACGAGAAGGATCAAGAGAAAGCAACACAACATCAGAATATGAGAAAAAAGTGTGCTGCAAATGAATGCAAACCTACATTCCTGTACAACTGGACAATCATGAAGGCAGGAAATGGGAAAACTGGCAAGATCTGTTTGGAAGGATCTAAAGAAAAATTAAGGTAGGCATATATTATATAATTTACAGCTATATAATCATACGGGGTGGGGTAAGATTTTGTGTCCATCATATTTCATCATAACCTACCTTCATCCTACTTACAAGTGCAACATAATGGTAATCTCTGTATTTGAATGCTACTTAATTTGTTAAACAAAGTAAATATTTATTGGTGTTGATTCATCTGTAATAGGAATAGCTAAGGGTGTGGCAGCCAAGTATTATAAACTAGCAAATGATGTCATGGATGTGCAGTTGTGTTTGATCATTTGTGTTTTTTGCATAACAATACTCTCAGGAGTCTATCAATTGATAGACTCCTTTTACTTCGACATACATTTTTAAATTCCAATATGTGTTTGTTGTGTACAAGTGATGTATATCTCTTTTTTATGATAAAAAGTGTGGTAAGATCCGGCTACATCTTTCTGGACATTTTGTGTAATCCAAATGTTATTAATACATGTGTTTGCACAATGATAAACATGTATATATCTGATATATATGCTATGTCAGTTATTTTCACAATATTTACTTTTTATTTCTTGTAGCAATGGTGACGAAATTGCTCGGTATTGGCATAGTGCTGCCATTGTAAAGCGAGTGACTGCCAAAGTTGTACAGACTATCAGTGGCTCAACATACAGGCTCAGTGGTCCGTTGTCTAAGGTTGCCTGGACACAACCAGGTAGGGCAATACAGCATAACCATACATTACATACTGCATTCCAATAACCATTGTTAACAGAAAAATCTGTAATGTGAATAACGTTTTCTTATTGGCTTCCGATATATAATTGGATGTGCATACCTACGGGTAATCGTTTGGCTGAACGATGAACTAGAATGATAATTATGAATGCACTTAATCCTTTTCAAACAGATATGTTAATTATCTGATGGTGTAACACAGTAGAGGTTAGAAATGAACTTTGATGCCAGGTAGCAAGTACTTGCTGCAAAAAAAGCAGGCAACAAATTTACTAATCTAGGCGGAAACACGAGAAAATTGCAGCTCCACTCCCTCCCACCGCAACAGTACTGTGCTATTGCGTCTGTCCATGTCCATAAGGTTTGGCCTTCTAGCCATCTTTCCTCTGTTTGGTAAATTCTAAAGGTAGTCACCAGGCTCTAACCTTAAAGCCAGTTCTGCCTGTTTACAGTTCTTTTTCAATTGTACGGCTCACTGTAGCAGTTGTGGTCGTTGTGAACTGCTCTTAAATAGGTGATGTGAACCTAGACTATACTAGATGTGGGTGGGGTGGGGGGCTGATTACAGAAATACAATTCATAAGCAGTCCACGTGTAGGCCAAACCGTCTTATATCATAGCGGTATGTTACACATATAAAAGAGGCCCCCCAGTTGTGTTAGCAGCTGGTTGCATATTAATTACATGAATGTTATCTATAGTGATTTACTGATTTACCACTACATTTTTGGGTAGAAAATCCCACTAATTCTTTTGAAAAGTTACCCGAGTGCAAATTTTCATTTCAAGTTGTAAGTAAAAGAGGTAATAATTTACAAATAATGTATCTGTAAGTTGACATAAACCTGGGTTGTTGTAGCGTGGGATATTACTGTATTTTAAATATAAATCCAGATTATTTTTGTCATAATCAGTGTTATAGTATGTGGACCCATATTAATATTGTACTAGGTTAAAGCTGCCGTATTCTATCCTCAGTAATGTGTCACTAATGAAATTGTATACTGCACACAGTGTCACTCTGGTGTCACTGATTTGACAGCTGAGTGAATGGAAATGGTTCAGTATCACGCAGGCTCAAAGGGGAAGGTCTAGACTGTATTCTTGTTAGCATTTACAGATGTGATAGCCAAGTAAACTATTATTAACCACCAATAAAGTACTATGTAACTTTTGTGTTTTGCAGATATGACAGTCCCAGTGCTTAAAGCTTTTGCAACTGGCTTCCCATTGAACTGGAAAGAGGTCATTAAAAATCACTATTACAAGAGATACGATAGCGATGATGATGATGATTGCCTGGATTCAACTAGCATATTGTGCACATCGGGTGAGGATCTCATTTTATGTGTATTCATGCGTTACAACTCAAATAAAGTATGTACAAACATATGGCATGGTGAAGTGTAGTTGAGTTCCTATTTATTCCTTTTATAATGAATGACTCAGTAAACCAAGCATTCTTTAGCTGGAAATTAGGTATGCATTGTGGACTTATCTCTGTTGGCAGTGTGGAATGATGACAAGTTGCAGGTGGCGGACCTGCCACAGTCAAGATCAGGCCGCACAGTCATACCTCCACTCGCCTACTGGACTGGGTCAAGGGTAATGACCAATCAGTGGTCTGAAGATGGACATGTCACTATACATGTGGAGACGGCAGATCATTTAACACCGACCATTAATTATAAATCGGTACAAGTAAGAGCGTTTTCCTGGGGCAAAAGAATGTCGGATGTATAAAAACAAAATGATAGTTTACCTATAGCTGAACTTGATCAGCCAAAATAATTATTAGTAATAGCAATAGAAAAGAAAGTACTGCATTGAATTACTGAATTTTCCATTGATAAGTTGTTTGCAGAATATATCTGCAAAAGCAAACGTTTAAACACATGTGCAGTGGGAGTTCTCTTTATTTTTATTTTTTTAGTGTTGGTTAATGATATGATAGTGTCACGTGCACATTTACATAATGTGACCAATAATTTATTTTTTAATGATTATGTCACATCTATGTCCCTATGTGTTCCTCCCTGAACACTAGGGGAAGCAACCACGTGCCCAGCAATTCTTTTTGAGCAAGTAATCAAGAGCACATGAACTCTATAGCAAATAAAGATGAAAACATAAAATTTGTTTTCACTAAAATTAAATATTTTAACCGCATAGTTTGAATGACGTTCCACTTTATCAGCTGTGCTTGCTTGAATCAATAGGATCAGCCAACTGTCTCCGTTGTGTTGCTGAGCTGAGCTAGAAGTGCATAGAGGATCTCCGATTATCACAGCCAGAAATAACTCAGTGATTTTTAATGATTCAGTTGTAATCTACCGGCAGCAGCTGATTTTACCATAATCTTTATTTGGCAGTGCTCTTATTAGGCTAACACAATGGGCAGGCCATAACTATGGTAACATATAACATGTTCTGTGGTGATTATAACTTAATATACTGATAATTGACAACACCAACATACTACACTCAATCACTTTGCCCTGCAATAACTAATGAAAACAATGTGGCCTAGATGCAACCAGCATTCCTTGTACATACACGTAATGTACATCGCATATGTTCCCTAATTTCATTGATCTTATTCGTCAAATCATGGTCAATGACTAACGAAAACACCAACTTTTCTTCGGCTCTAAAAGCTGAGAGAGAGAGAGAGCGAGTGAGAGAGAGAGTTCTCGTGCCCCAACCGAAAATGCCTATAATAATCTGGTATAGATACGTCTAGTGTATGCACTTCTAGCTCGGCTCGAGAACGTGGCATGGACGAGCGGTGGGTCTCAATAATTCTAGCAAGAATTGCTGATTACTAAAAGTAGTACATTGTTTAAATTATGTGCATAACCTAAGTTGATGTACCTGTAATGTTACCTTACTTAATTCAACTGAATTTAAAATATGGTTTTCAGTTTTTATCATCGCTCGCTCTAGGGTTTACGTGCTCTTGAAATAGACTATCAAAATCGGTGGGTAATAGTTGAAGAGAAAATGACAAACATAGGGTGAGCCTATGTTTTAATTCATGGGAGTGGAGCAGAAAGCTTTCCTGTCATCATAGGAACACAAGGCTATGCATATGCCAACAATAAATGTTAATTGAGATGGTTAGTGAGAAATATACTGACAAATATCAGGTAGATTGGTGTTTTGAAATGAAAATATGAAGTAACTTCTTATAATTATCATTTAATTTAATATGTAAACTGATGCCTGTTTCAGCGTTTCGGCAGGCGCACCAGTACTCCTAAAACCAATACAAAGATGGAGAGCGAAAGAAATGACTCGATGGGTAGTAAGTTTAATGTAACGCTCACAAATGTGTCCCACAGAAGAGAGCAGTTGATAGATAGTGAAGTTAAAGCAGAATCATCAAAGGCAGTGAAGCAAAGGAAGAGAAGAGCAGGAGTAAAAAGTGGTGTAATTGATAGTGAAGTTAGGGAGGAATCAACTAGGCAGTCGACGAGAATGAAAAGAGTGAGACGTGTAGTTGATAGTGAAAGTGAAGAGGACCCCATACGGCGATTAAGGCGAAGAGAGAAAAGAGCTACAACGAGGAATGAAGTGGGGGATAGTGAGGTTGAAAAGGAACCTATAAGGCGGCCAAAGAAGATAGAGAAGACGAACAGCGTAAGAAATGATAAAGAAGATCAGGTGGTTACAAAAGGTCTTGTTGGACAAAGGAAAGGTAGAAGTAAAGGAGTGCAAAATGAAGTAGCGGGTAGTGAGGTTGAAGAGGAACCTATAAGTCGGCCAAAGAGAAGAGAGCCATTGAAAAGCGAGAGAAATAATGATGAAGATAGTGAGAATAAAGAGGAGCTTATGGGACAATCAAGGAGAGGTAGAAGTAAAGGAGTGCAAAATGAATTAGCGGGTAGTGAGGTTGAAGCGGAACCTATAAGTCGGCCAAAGAGAAGAGAGATGTTGAAAAGCGAGAGAAATAATGATGAAGATGGTGAGAATAAAGAGGAGCTTATGGGACAATCAAGGAGAGGTAGAAGTAAAGGAATGCAAAATGAAGTAGCGTGTAGTGAGGTTGAAGAGGAACCTATAAGGCGGTCAAAGAGAAGAGAGCCGTTGACAAGCGAGAGAAATAATAATGAAGATAGTGAGAATAAAGAGGAACTTATGGGACAATCAAGGAAAGGCAGAAGTAAAGGAATGCAAAATGAAGTAGATGATAATAATGTTGAAGAGGAACCTGTATTTTTGTTAAGGGGACGAAAGAAAGGAAAAGAAATTAGAAATGAAGCAGAAGATAGTGAGGTTGAAAAGGAACCTGTAAGACAGATCAGGAGAAGAGCAAAAAGAGCAACAATGAGGAATGAAGTAGCGGGTAGTGAGTTTGAAGAGGAGCCTATAAGGCGGTCAAAGAGAAGAGAGCCGTTGAAAAGCGAGAGAAATAATAATGAAGATAGTGAGAATAAAGAGGAGCTTATGGGACAATCAAGGAAAGGCGGAAGTAAAGGAATGCAAAATGAAGTAGATGATAATGATGTTGAAGAGGAACCTGTATTTTTGTTAAGGGGACGAAAGACAGGAAAAGAAATTAGAAATGAAGCAGAAGATAGTGAGGTTGAAGAGGAACCTGTAAGACAGATCAGGAGAAGAGCAAAAAGAGCAACAATGAGGAATGAAGTAGGGGATGATGAGGTGGACAAGGAACCTGTATTTCGGTTCAGCCAAAGAAAATCAAGAAAAAGGACGAGAAATGAATCAGAAGATAGCGAGGTTGAAAAGGAACCTATAAGGCGGCCAAAGAAGATAGAGAAGACAAACAGCGTAAGAAATGATAAAGAATATCAGGTGGTTACAAAAGGTATTGTTGGACAAAGGAAAGGTAGAAGTAAAGGTGTGCAAAATGAAGTAGCGGGTAGTGAGGTTGAGGAGGAACCTTTAAGGCGGTCAAAGAGAAGAGGGAAAAGAGAAAGTATAAGAAATGCAGGAGTCTGTGATGAGATTGAGGAGAAACGAACAAAGCAGAGATTGGAACAAAAGCGAAATGGTGTGCTAAAAAAGGCTAATATACTAGATAATAAAAAACACATTCACAAACAAGCCAAGGAATGTGGAACTACATATGAAATAGAAAAAAGCAGAAAGGCTAGAGTTTTACTGCTAAATGAGTCAGCAGGGGAGGAATTGGGACAAAGGAACAGGATTATCAGCCTTTGTGATGATGATAATGATGAACTAGATACTCCACCTCTGCTTTCCTGGAGGCATACTCGAGTGCCCGTGGTCCAAGATTCTAAAGTGGAAATGACGTGCGCCATCACTGAAACTCCAAAGGCATCAAGTAGAACCAAGTCATCCGGTTAGTAAATCTACGGTTTATTTTTTATTACAGTCTGTAGCATTAGCCATGTCATTATGGTGTCAATATCTTCCACAAATTTATGGATGTTAGAACTCATTTCTGTAGTAAACGTTACATTCTAATCTACCCTAAGCAGTAGGCCTTTTGATTTTTATCTAGTGAGTCTTTTGCTAAGTAAATTACATAACATGTCACCTGAAAGACAAGCAATTGATTGGATTATAGGTGATGGAAAACGCAATCAATATGTAGAAAAATGTACTAGTTCTACACGTGGGAGCACCTGTAATCAACTGGAAGCAGACAAAAATGCCGTGTGGGATAAAAAAGACGTTAGCAAGCTAGAAAGGTAATCCTGCTGGTTTATTGTTAATAAATAGATGGAATGATTAAGTGTTGATACATGTGTAGGTTAAATTCTTATTTATAACTGTCATATACATCTTTGTGTAAGTTTGATTGTCTTTACTCTCAGAACAATGCTCAGATTTAATCCATCCTCACGAACCTTCTGGAATGACGTTGCTAATTATATGGGCAACCGGACAGCTATGGAATGTCATCAGTTCTACTATGAAGATGATGAGTTATCAGACGAGAAAAAGTCAATGAAGAAAGGTAATAATAACTTGCTGGAGTGCATATTATTGGGATATCTAGTGTAGCAGTGGGCTCACCACAGTGCTTACTACAAAGCCTGATTTTCATTTAGTTCTTTCATTTTCATTCTGCATTTACCAGAATTGTGAATTATTCAGATGAATGCACTAACCAAATATATAGTGATAGCGGCAAATTCGGTTACGTGAATCTCTATATAAAATATGTTTATATCTTAGTGATCCATATAAGTAATATATGGCAACATGCACATTGTATTTGTGGAGCATAGTGTATTTGTGGAGCACAGTTTATATACCAAGCATTAGACTTGAAAGTAAGATAGATAACTAATTACAGCTCATATGCCTGTGGCCAGTGAATTTGTGTTAGTAATTCTCTAGTAGTCTTTTTGTGTAGTTTCTATGCAGCAACAAGGTGACCCGAGTAATTTAAGTAAATACCGTCATTCTAGCTAAAGCACCAGCTCTGATAACAGCGAAAAAGGGAACGATGAAACGCAAGAGACAGATGAGAGATATGTTGGAGCAACATGATGAGGGGTATAGTGAGGACGATCTATTTGATTCAACTCCCTTTAGGAATAATCCGAAGAAAGCTAAGGTAATTTCATGAGCAGAGATAATTTTCCGCGTATGCTCATGATCAATTCTTCCATAGCACGTCCAATCCTGCCGTTTTAGGGCATCATGAGATCAATGTCAACTGCATCATTGTTACCATGCCGACTCAATTTGTTCCCTTCACCATCTAAAACTTAACTTACACACATATTGCAGGCAAGCTTAGTAGAAGGAGACAGCTTCATGGATTCTCTGAGTGCTAGTACGATGAAGAGTTTCATGAGAACGCCCGGTGAGAGAGCTATCACATGGGTTCCACCATCCAAAAAGAAGACACCCAAGTTTGGTAGTTTCACAACACCAGTCGTCTTTAGTGCAAACATGTAAGTGTCCAAGTCAATCATTCTGTGGCACAGATAGAAAAATAAATTGCTCTTGTGTTAAAAACCTTTTTATTTGTAATGCTATTATATGTATTTCAGAAATCAAGTTGATCGATATATTCATAAGTATCAAGGAAGAAGATTTGATCATGCCACACCAGAACCTTCAAAACTACAGTCAGCCACCAGCCAACACAGCAAGGTACTAGAGCTTTTAAATGTTTGTGTGCACTTGAGAATATATTTACGCAACTTTCTATCTCATAAACAGACACTTGGCTGTGATTTAACGTTTTAACAGTAATCCCCTCCCCCCCAGATCACAGTTACGTGAACATTAATAAAGGACATTGCATTGTAGATAAATTCAGGGATGCGGCAGATATGTCATCATAATAGGACATTGGACGTGTATCTATATTTTTATGAATGTGTACCACAGAGAACATCTTATATTTTAGGATATCAACAATGCTGCTGCAAAAAATGTCCTAGAAAATAAAGGTGCAATTGACTATGGACGGCCAGACTCTGATGAATCTGAGGAAGAGCTTGATCACTACTGGTCAGATGCATAATACACCCACTGACCCTGACTCCATGACCCTTTTAAATTTAATAATTTATAGAGGTTGTTTGAAAAGGGATTACAACCCAACTTTAAAATGGCATTCATGTTTATTTTAGTTTTTTGTAAAGAGTTGCAGTTTCGATGCTGCAGGCTATGTAAGCAATCTACATAAGGTAGCAATTTGTTCTGATATTTCGTAGTACCTATACTAAGTATTATCTGTACTAGTAAAACTAATTGTGATTACAATCTGGGGCCTAAAGTACATTACAATAGGATTATGTACAACGTTTAGAGCAGAATATTCAAAGTGTTCTTTCAGCAGATGTGTTCTAATAATTTTGCTAATGATGAGGGAATGTACATAATATCTATATTACAACCTCATGATAGCAGGTTGAAAACATAGATCCCCTGTTGAGTACAGATATCATGGATAGGCTAGGAGTCCAGTAGTTTCCAGTTAGTATATTTTATGTTCATTGTGGATGATGAATCGTGGGTCTACCACATGAATCAACTGTGTGTACATATATATGTTGGAGGTGAAATAGGAGTCGATGGAATTTTAGTTTGAATACTTTATATGAGATTGCCAATTGCCATTGTTGTGTTGTATATGCCATGCTATGCATCGGTTTCTTTTTTGTGAAAGTTCGTTTAGTAGTATGTATGCTTATGTAATCTCAATTTCGTCCAATCTCTGACAGATTTATTACAAGTGCTACAGCTCACTCATCTTAACCAAGTGCCCTCTCTTACAGTGTTAGTATCACCATTTGTATAATAAAATGTGTTATATATGCTTAAATATGTAGATCCTATATACATTTACTGATATACTTAACCTGTAGTATGTTCGGATCTTTTCATCTCATGTGACTTAGTTGGATGGTGTGCTTGTAACTCCGTCCATTGGCCTGTAAACGCCCAGTTACCTAAGGCAAGCAGCTAGTGCGGCATGTCATCAATGCTCATCTGACAGCTAGTGATATGCTTTTGTTGTTACTGGAAAGAGCTAATCCAGATTCTACAGTGATCATCACTTTTTTGGTGCAATACTGCACCAGTATCATTAGACCTGGCAGTTTAGTATCCTGGTTTAATTTAAGGCTAATTATAGATACTTGTTTCTAAGCATGATAGCTGGCAGCTACCTTTTCTGAAAAAGGGTAGAATCTTCATTGCTATAAATGGCTTCACTTTTAATGTTTATATTTGGGCTGTTAGATAAATTTTGAGCTATCGTTGTTGCGTTGGTGACTAGGCTACTTATGATCTTAGATAATATATCAGATTTTTCATTAACTTGAGAAAAAGGTACCTGCAGTTTGGACTAATGGCACTGCCACAAATCGAAACTGTGAGCTATGCCCATCTTTTTCTGGGAGGGTCTGATGCTAGGAGAAATTCTTGCGTTTTAGCATGGAGTCACAAAGGAAACATTTTCATTACATTACTAAAATGAACATTAAATGTGACATTTTAAAGGGAACCTACTGTAGGTGTAATACATATTTTCAGTTACAAGTATGATCAACTTATGCTACACTAACAATGTTCCAAATTCATTAAAATATTTGTTTAATATTTTAAAACTGTCAATAATAATTTGCTTACAACACTGATGGCACAACTAGTTGTGCAAATCCAATTGTCAGCTGTATTGCTTATAGCTATCATGACAAAATTTATTTATTTTTTGTATTAACTATCTAAATTAGCTATCATATTATAGACATAATCACATATACTTGTCCTCCTATACAGTATCTATTATATTCGTATAAAGGGTTCTACAATAGAACCTTCTGCTTGCATGTCATAACACGCGTATTAAAGCAACTAACTCGCCCAGAACCTTGCCTACCTGTGATTGACATGGTTCGTGTACCATTTTGGTTAAATCTGCATTCCCCAACGAAAAGCTGTCATAAATGTTCCTGGAAACACTAACAGTTCTTAATTACCACATAAAGATGTTCCAAAGATGCCACATTTAGCACAAAGCCATGTGAAGTGATGAATGTAATTCGTAAAAAGTAAATGAACCACCACGACCATTTGTTCAAAATTGCAAGCACTCACAGCATCAGTAAATGCTAGTTTTAACCTGTTTTTGAGCATCTAAATGCCACTTAATTTCTTTATTTGACTTTCGTATTAAATAGCATCTGGACAATTTTTTTAAAAGGAAGATGAGTAAATTTGTAGTGGAGGGCGAGTTAAAATCTATCCCACTATTAATTTTTGAGCACCTACATATCGCTCATTCACTCTCACAGTTCACTTTTTCTCTCTGCGTTTTGCAACAATTGCTGCCTCTTCTTGTTATACATATCCATGAGTTGCTTGTCAGGTTTCAGCTTCTTACGCTCCAGTTCCTTCCAGACACTATCTAGCTGCTTTGTTGATGATGCAGCACCAAGGTTCTTGCGAATGTAATACAACTCCAAATCGTCTGCCGACGCGAGTCGACATTCGTCGACCTTGCACAGATTATTCAGCAGTGCTCGATTTAGCTGTGGATGAAAGCGAAAGCCGACCACCTTTTCCAAATGCTCAAGTGGCACGAGAAAATCCTTCAGTTGCTGATGCTTGGAGATGGGCTCATTTGGCACGACAAAGGCTGACAGGGCCTGGTGAGAGCCACCTGATGCTCCCTCAACAAGGATAACCTTGAACAAGTGAGTGGGCACGGCCACATTGTTCTTGCCAAGAACTTGGTAGGTGACCATATTTTTCCCATTTTGCTCCCGAGGAAGCCACAGTGGTCCACTGATTATCCGCACATCCGTGAAACGCTTGGTTAAGTCACGGCAGTACAGCTCCAACCTGTAAAATTGTCAAAAATGTATTCTTAGGCCAAAACAAAATATATGTGTAGTTACCATTACATGCCGAAAACAAGTGCCGCAGAGCGACAGCGCTCATCTGACGTCTACTGCGGTGACTCTGTGGTGGAGTGGTGGGATTCTAGTAAA